CTCAGACCCTATCAGGTGAGTCTCTTTTCACCAAAGCACTGTGCACCTTTCTTTCTTGTGATTTTAGGTTGCTTTCTCAAACGGGTGAATTTGTGCATGGGCCCTTTAAGAGCCGGTTTTAATTTCTTTGTGAGCCAGCTTTTCTGGGGGTACTCCCCAATGTTTTAGTAGCAGGCAAAGTCAGATATTATGCCACTTGCCTCGATTGTGCTGGGTCCACACAATGCTCCCTGGCTCAGGGCCCCACTCCTCCAGGGAGGGCTGCGGACCTGTGGGCTGCTCCCAGGCAGCCGTGAGGTGCTGCGGCTTGTGAAGGCGGCATTTTTTCTCTCCAGAAGGGAGTTTCTGCCTCTTCCACCTCAATTAGGATTGTCGTTTGTTGCAGGAGTTCCTCTCATCCAGTTTTCAGTTCTCTCTCAGGGGTAATTTTTCCGTGAGTAGTTGTAAGTTGGCTGTGTCCGCGGGACGAGGTGAGTTCAGAGTCTGCCTACACCACCATCTTGACTTCTCTCTCTCTCCTTTCTTTTTGATCCTTGAGAGAGGAAAGGCAGGTCCCAGACATTTCTTGTAATCTTGTCCCTGTGACCATTTGAAAGCTGTTCCTTAAACCTTGTTGTTGGGAATGGGAAGAGCAGGAAGGTGGGCATGGACTGATCAGTGGGCTCTGTGCTCAGACATTGAGAGGTTCCACTTCCAGGAGGGGCTCACCGTCTCAGCTGGGACCGAATCAGAAGGAAGGAGATCTAAAACTGCCTTCTGGTGCTGACTGGCATCTGAGTCAGACACCCACCCTGTACCTTACCAACCTTCGTGGTTGTCCACAACTGAAATTTAAACAAGCAATATCCATTTTATTAGTTGCTGTTACAGCCACTAGTACTTGGTTAATTTCTTAATGGTTTCTAGAATTTATAAAATCTCATATGAACATATCTTATTTTCAGAAATAAAGTCAATTTGTGTGTGATTTAAGAAGATAGCCTTGTTATAAGTAGAGGCATATTTGTTACATTACAGAAAACCATTTGTTGTCAAAGGCTTTATATTGGAAAATATTGGAATATATTGGAAAATATATTGGACCTCAGTGAGGAGACTAAATCACTTATTTGTGTGTAAGTGGCCTTGTTTATGTTTCTGTGATGATGTGTTTGTTACAGAATTCCAGGAAGAAGCAGCTTGGATGACTGTGGGGAGAGAGATGAAAAATTATCCAAGTCAATCAGTTTCACCCGTGAATCAATTAGTCGGCTTTCAGAAACAGAGTCAATCGATGGAAATTCACCAGAAAGGGTTAGTGTATGATATCCCTTTTAAAATATACTTGATGCCACCATGTGTTAATCATAACGTAAGATCAGATAAAAATACAGTATACAAAACGTTTAAAAACTTAAGATGTCAGACTGCTCCTTTATTTTAGGAGAAGAATTTGAAGTCTATAAGTAGCAGAGGTTATATGAGATAATACGTGGTTCTGTTATGAGCTGGATAGGTGCAGAGCTCCCAGACAGTTAGTTCCCTGAGCATCAGTGTATAAGAGGCATGGACATCATTAAAAATACAATAAGATGGAGGAATTCGTAGTTAGCAGAATTTTTCCCAGAGTAGGTAGTGTGTGTGGTGGACAGAATCTGTTTTGAAGGGAGAAATGAGAACCCCCAGCAGCACGGTTGAGGAACAATAGACACTTCTTAGGCAGACCACTAACACAGGCCGATCCAGTTAATTACTGAGCTTCATAGTTAGTTAGTTAGTTTCTTCCTTTATTCTTTCAAGTATCATTATAAGCCCATCAATTTTTTTTGTTTCAATGAGTTTCTATCACTTGGAGTCATTATTTTTTTTAATATTCAGTTTGTCCCCTCTGCCAGCGGGAGCCCCTTCAGGTTCGCTACTTTGTCCCTCTGAAATGATCAGTAATCTTTGATGGTGTCCTTTCTTTCTGGTACAATGATGTGTCCCAGGCACATTTGGTACACTTTCTGTCACAGACTTAGTATCAGCCATTTTCCTAATGAGCCACAGTTCTTAGTGAAGAACGTGAGACCACATTCTGAGTGTTGAGTGCCCCCACTGTAGCGCTTTTGTTCTGCTGATTGGGGATGCAAGTCTGGGCCGAAGCTGAATTTCTTGGTTTAGTGGCTTCAAATTCTACCTCTGCTACTTGCTAACTGTGTGACCTTAAATTAATTAACTTAATTACTTAACCTTTCTATGCCTTTGTTTTCTCAGCTATATGATGAGGACAGTAATACCCTTTAGGGTTTTTTATAAGCATTAAATGGATTAACATATGTGAAAGTGCTTTGAACAGTCCCTGGCACACGTTAAGCTGTCAATAACCGTAAGCGATTATAATTGAAGGTGAATTTGTGTGTGGCCAGCAATGGACCTTTTCTGCCTTCTTCCATGGAGCTCCCAACATCTCCTGTGGATAAATGTTGGGAAAACATGGAAACAAAATATATTTATGTGAAAGGCCACCAAGTTATCAGCTTGTTTCAGGCAACCACCATGCAACTATCTCAGTCTGATTTTGTGTTGTGGATTTCTTTCTTTCTTTTTTTTTTCCCTGAGGAAGAGTCACCCTGAGCTAACATAAATGTTGCCAGTCTTCCTCTATTTTGTTTGTGGGTTGCCACCACAGCATGGCCACTGACAAGTGATGTAGGTCCACGCCTAGGAACTGAACCTGCGAACCCAGGCTGCCGAAGCAGAGTGCTCCAAACTTAACCACTAGTTCACCGGGCTGGCCCCTGTTTTGTGGATTTCTTGCAAAACTTATTCATCATAGAGACTCTTAGGAACTGATCACTGGTGCAGGGGACGTGATTCTGGATGCTCATCTCTTTGTATGTTCTCACTGATAAGACTAAACCACTCAATTTTGGGGAGGTAACAGGACAAGGAATCTCTTACAGTCTCCTTATCCTTTTACAAAAGTCTAACTTTGAGGACTGGGTCCTCAGAACTACTAATGTTAGTTGAGTCCTTTCTGTAGCCTCCTTGACGATGCCTTCTGTACCTGCTCTTGCAATAGTTAACCCATTGGTTCTTGCTTCTAGTTTTATCCCTAAAGGAAGTCATATTTTCTCTAAGGAAAGAGAATGGAATGTAGAGGAATAATTTTATGTTTTAAGATTGATCATTCATTCATTGCTGTGTAGTAGAGATGTTTTCAGGTTGTGGAATACAAGCAATAGAGAAGTTCAGTCCTTTGTTCCCTTTTGCATTCAAGAGCGGTATGGTGAGATAGATTCTCAGATGTCAGCAAATATCATATGTCACCTACTTTCTTTCATTTTTACTTCCAAGAAAGTTGGAAATAGCAAAAAGTCAGAAATAACATTTTTCCAAGATGAAAATAAGTTTTTAAGTTATAAAATTAATACCCTTCTTAAAAATTCAGGAAATAGAGAAAAGTATACAAAGAAATAAAAATTGTTCAGATGCCAACCACTCAAAGATAGTGACTGTTACTTTTCCTATACGTATCTATCTATGTTTTTTATAATAGAGACTCTATCTCAATTAGAAACAACAGGAGAAATATGTGTGGAAACTTACTGTACTTAGCATCGGTTAGGAGGCCCTGGGTCAGCTAAGTAAGCATGTTGCTTTGTACTGTGGAACTCCCCAATAAGTCAAGTCTTGATTTTAGCAGTAATCTCTGCCTGAAGAATCAGTCCTCTGACGAGGATAGTTCATCCTTTAATGAATTGTGTCCTGGGTCCCAGTTATTCTGCTTTCTGAGTGGCCACTGGAAACCTGTATCCTCCCTGGGGCTTCTTCTTCTGTTCAGTGCTGCCCAAAGATGTCGTGGGGCAGGAAGTTTAAGGACTGCGTATATGCTTTTTGCTCTCTTTCATCTGCTTACACACAGACTATGCAAGAAAGTACTTTGCTATATAGTTTATTTTTCACAGTGTTCTATTAAGCCTGTAATACCACTCTACTTGAATACTAACATAGCAATAGCATTCATACTTTAATGCCTAACATTAAATTTATCATACAAACATGTGTTTATTAAACTGTTCCCAGAAAGTATCATATAAAGCATCATATAGTGACTGTATATTAATGCCCAATGCCTTGGTCCCTTAATAGCAAAGCCAACTGTCTTCTTACGAGTTTGCTGTGAAATTAATTTTCCCTTTTAATCCTCTCTCCACCACTGTACTCTTATGTGACTCTTATCTCTCTGTTTTCTTTCCCTTTCCCCTTTAGTTTCTGGTCTTGAGAGATGGGTGAGTTCTCTTCCTTGAGATGATGGGGCAGGTACTGTGGGGAAACTAATGGGGTTTGACTCCTCTCCCTTGCCCACCCCGAAGAACTGGCTGTCCCATTACTTTTGTCCTCTTCACCCTTTCCCTTCTGCGTAAGTGATTCACGTGATGTTAAGTTTCTGTGAGTTCATAAATTTATTGTTCATTACTGTGTACCAAGATAACTTTAGAGTGGTGTATATTATTTACCAATATTTTATGGACTGAATTGGAAAGGTGAGGCAAACAAGAAATTTTTCAAAGAACAGTATTTCAAAGCATCTTTATTATTAAAGATCTCACTGTAAAATCTAAGCCTATAATCTGTTTTTTTAAACTGGATTGTTTGCCTTCTAGGGGTTAGGGAAAGAGGAACCCCAAAGTGAGAAACAGATCAATAAGAGTCCTTTACTAGCTTCAGAGAAGAGGTTAAGTAGAGTGCCATCAAAGTCACTGGACTTGAATAAAAATGAATATCTTTCTCTGGACAAAAGCAGCACTTCAGATTCTGTTGATGAAGGTAAAGAATTTCTTATAAATTTTAATAGAATTTCTGCTGTTTTTTTTAATGTTTGATCTTTGTATTAGATGTGTGCAGATTGAGAATTTAGTTGCATCAGATACAGTCTTACTCTATAAAGAACCAAAAAAGGATGGAAGTTGATAGAAAATAGAGGAAAGAGGCTGCTAACTCTAATCCATCTCCACTTTTCAGAAGCCTGGGATTTGAAAATCTCTATAACATTTAGGTTTTAAAAGTCCAAGCCTTAAGTCACTGGAGATGGAGCAGTAGCAGTGGAAAAGCAAATCTGAAGAAAAATCTGGATAATGTTATAGATGCTATAATTGTGCTACTTTCTTTTAACCACCACCAAAAAAAAGAGAGGTATATAGAGATGCATAAGTAGAGAATATAATAAAAATAAAAAGCAGTTGCTTAAATGAAACTTTATAGCAAATCGTGTTCTCTCTACTCTCTCCAAGTTAATAGCAACAAGCTGGGGCTTGTCATACTTATTAAGTGGGCATTTTAAGGAATCTTTTTTTTTTTTTACCTGTAAGATGATTGACATTGAAGTCAGTGAAGAGGGGACACACTGGGAAAGATCCAGGGTAGTGACGACTTTCAAATTTCAGGAAAGGGAACAATGCCGGTGGATTTTTGCTGTACCGGCCTTCCTTCTAGCAGTGCTCAGAATATTGGTGATGGGGACAGTGGTTTGGATCTGTAGGACATGATTGTATTTTCAGGTTAGACCTGGTTTGGGAACCCCTGAAGTCTTTTAGTATAGTGAAAACCAAATCCATGGAAACCAAAACTAAATCCAAGTTAAATCTAAATAAAATCCAAATCAAGTCCAAATCTAAAACCAAACCAAACCAAGACCAAATCCATGGAAACCAAATCCAAAGTAGGTTAGCCTTTGGTTTGGGAGCATTGAAGTATCTTTAATGAAAGCTAAATCCACACTCTTAAAAACATAAATAAAAATCCACCAGTTGCTAAAAATCATAGAATGCATTAAGAAGACAGTTGTTGAGTTCTTCTGCAAAGGTAGTTGAGAGGAAGCTTTTTAAAAGGATCGAGCCACGTGAATGACTAGACTCTCTTAGTGTCCTTTCATTCCTGCTTTGGCGTGCAGCTGGTATGACTTAGTTACCCTGCCTGGCTGAACCTCTGACTTTAGGAAGATCTACTCTGGCACCCAGTGGCCACATAGGTAAGTGACACAAAAACAAGGATTTTTTTCCCCTCTTTCTCACCTGCTCTGTTATAAGAATGGTCTTTAAAAAGTAGTTTCCTTATTGAGTTCCTATAAAATTAACATTAATGATAAGTTATATAAAGGATAACATTAAAACTCATATAAGCTGTGTTCATATCTAGAAATAAAGAAAGAATGATAGCGGTGTAGTTTCTGTATTGCTGGTGAGTCCTGATCACCTTTTGCTCCTTGCTTGTGCCCCTTTGAAGACCATTTGGCTTTACAGCCCTAAGACCTTACATGTAACATTCAGGCTTCTGTTTCTGGAGGTTTTCTTTAAGGTGTATGGGATGACTCTTTTTTCTTATTAGATCATCATTAGATAACAAATCAAGTACTCCTATTGCTTTCCCTAAGCAGGTTCCAAAATCTCGGGCTTATCATATGCATTAATTGGGTATTATAATGAATCTATTTTTTATTTTCTTAAAGTTATGAGATTATGAAGACACTTGAAGTCAGTGGACTGGGAAGACAATAGGAAAGGTCAAAAGAAGTAAACCCTCCCAGGAAATCTGGAAATGTATGTGTGGATTTAGAGGGAGCTAGGTAGATCACAGATTACTTTAAACCAAACATTATTTTATTTAACATGATAGTATTTTGATCTACCGTTGTGAGCAGGCTGAGTGAGAAAATGAGAGGATTTCTTTTTTCTCTTTTCTGCCACCTGTAGACTGTAACCTTTGGGAGGAGGCACTGGACTCTTTTGATGTACACCGGGTCTAGAGTCTAGACCTGTGTATCCCTCTAGACCCGTGTATCCTCGAGAGGAATCAACAAAGGAGAGCATCATGAAATTCTCACGGAGGGACCTGAAATAACTTCTAGCACAGTCCCTTCGATGTGGAGTTTAACTGAAGCCCAGATAGGTACAGTTAGCCTAGAATCTGCTTTGACTGGCTCTTTCTTAATGCTCTAACTCTACAGTAGGCAGTTTAGAACCCACCAAGATTGAAGGGTGCCCTTTTTAGGGATATTTCTGTATTTCCAGAAATGGGCTATGGGTGTCCAGTTGCTGAACAAAATGCTAAGCATTGTGTTTTAATCTATTAAAGCATATTATTAACTTAAAACTTTGATATATAATAATTCACAGAGTAAGCTACAGAACTTTGTTTATCTAGAGGGTTGCTGCTGATAGACTTTCTCAGCTTATTAACTACCTCCCTGGTTTTGGGGAGGAGTTCAGAGCATCTGAGAAGATGCTGGGAGTTTCCTGGCAGATGAAGATGAGTTGACACAATGTATCCACGTCCACAAGTACAAGGAAAGTATGGCTGTGTTTTCAAGGATGCAATATTTCCGTTCCTGTCAAGATTTGCTTCTTCCACCTGCCCTGCTCTATCATGTCATGGATAGTCTGTGAAACATTTGCCCCAGGAAGTAGAGCCTTGACTGGAAGCTGACAGTCTGGCTGGTGGCATGAGGCACCTGGGCTGTGTCATGATGACAGAGGTTAAATTTAGTTTTGTATAGCTGGGGTTAGAACTTGCTGTGACAGGGTTCCCTCACCAAAGTCACTGTGCTGGGAATGGAAGCTAAGTCAGACGAAGATTAGGCTGGGGGAGGGGCACAACAGAAGAGCAACATTGGATTCTGTGATCCGTAGCTGAAAGAACACAATGAATTAGAGGCAAAGCCATGCAAAGAGAAACTGGAATCAGAATATCAGTGATGCTTATTAATTAATAAAGGTGAGGACAAGTAGACCTCTAGGGAAAGCCAGAGAAAAAGCCATGAAATAGTCTAGCATTTCAAGGAAGCAGCTAGGAGACTAAAACAGGTAACCCTGACACAGTTACGTGAGTCAGGTGTTTCAACAGCATTCTTAAATTGAACTTGGTTTTTCAGGTGTAAAGAAAGCCCTCAATCTGAGTCAAGAAGACAGCAGGTCACCAGTTTTTAGAAAATGGAAGATATAACAAATTGTGTGTCCTTAGTTACTCACACTCCAAATTACCTGCTTTTCCTGTGTACCTACCTAGTACTTTTTTCATACACCCTCAAAACATTGTCAACTTATGGTTTCAGTTTTATTCATGTCCATGCCCCTCTCATATTTATCTGTCTCACTTTTCCCACCATTTCCATAGGCCACTTTCAAACTGATATGTTTGAAATACTATTTCTTCTTTATTGGAAATAGTTAGTAATCTGTCACCAGGTTGAGCAGTGTTCCTTTCCCCATTTAAAATACCACCCTTTCCCCATTTAAAATACTAGCTTAATATGTTACAGCAGTACCATTGGTAATGCTACTTGGATAGAAGGCTTTAAAGTACCATGAATTTCATAAATAAATAATAAACAGTTTATTTCATGTCCTTACTTCCTGGGACCAATTTACATACAAAAGGTATTATTGTTAATTTCCAGTAGTTGATACCACAAATTCTATTTTGATCAGTCATAATAGAGAACAATTTATCTAAGAGTGGTGTTTAAATGAAATATGAAAATATTATATAGAAATACCTATATGCATGTAATTTGTTTTCTTCTTAAATGTGAACAAGAAACTTACTTTTGAAAAATTATAGTCCCAGGGCTCCTTAGAGAAATGACTGCTTCTAGGGTTAGGGTGGGGAATATACAAACTGAGCCTGGAACACCTTGCAGTGCCAGAAAATGTAGAAGTTCCAAAAAAACAAAAAAAGAGGCATGTCAAAGGACATAGGAGTCAACTTGAAAGAGCTCCTGATGGCCAAATGAAAAAATCTGAGCAACAAAATAAATAATGATAGTATTGGAGTATAGCCTGAAGTATAAAATAACTATTCATGGGTCTGTATTGATATAAATGATTGAATAACTATATAAAGGAGGGAGAAAGCACAAGTCTTCTTAGAGTTCCAAATAATCTATGTAGATGCTCCCCCTTCCAGGAGGTGAGCTTAATTCACCTCCCCTTAAGTGTGGGCTGAACTTAGTGACTCATTTCTAACACAAAATATGGAAAGGGGAAAACAGAAACTTTGCAGTTGAGGAACCTGCCACACACCATCTTAATTTAGTGATCAAGGTGAACATCATCATAAATCGTGGTTTTTTTTTGTTTTGTTTTGTTTTTTGTGAGGAAGATCAGCCCTGAGCTAACATCCATGCTAATCCTCCTCTTTTTGCTGAGGAAGACCGGCTCTGAGCTAACATCTATTGCCAATCCTCCTCCTTTTTTTTCTTTTTTTTCCCCAAAGGCCCAGTAGATAGTTGTATGTCATAGTTGCACATCCTTCTAGTTGCTGTATGTGGGACGCGGCCTCAGTATGGCTGGACAAGCGGTGCATCGGTGCGTGCCTGGGATCCGAACCCGGGCCGCCAGTAGCGGAGTGCGCGCACTTAACTGCTAAGCCACAGAGCCGGCCCCATAAATCGTGTTGATATGTGTGCCCCCTGAGTTTGATGAGAGGGCACTTCACCTTTGTGATGTTCCTCCCAAAAATCTGTAACCCCAGTCTAATCATGAAACAACCTCAGATGAACCCAAATTGAGAGACATTCTACAAAATCCCTGACCAGTACTCTTCAAATGTGTAAGGCCATTAAAAAACAAGGAGAGAATGAGGGACTGTCCTAGATTGGAGGAGGTATAACAACTAAATGCAACGTGGTATTTTGGGTGGGATCCTTGTATAGAAAAGGACATTACTGGGAAAAAAATAGTAATAAAGCCTAGTTTTACTTAATTGTACATCTAAAATTATTCCAAAATAAAAAGTTAAAAAATATGATTGCAAATTCAAAATCCTATAAATAAAAATAGACCCTAAATATTTTTAGCATTTTCAATAGTCATTATTCATTCAAAAATAGTTATTTAACACTTATGGTTTGTCAAGCACATAATGTACATAGGTGTTGAAAATCAACATGGTCGCTACTCACATGGAACTTAGCGTTTAGTGCAGGAGAGATACAATAAATAGGGCAGTAAGCCAATAAACATATAATTACCAGGATAAGTTCTGTGAAGGAAATGAACAGGATCAGTAGAATCACCTATACTTGTTTGCTTTCTTTGTGAATATATGAATTATTTTTACAATGAACATGTATTACTTCTGTGTCAGAAAAAAGCTATTTTTCCAGCCTAATTGGGACGTTACCTCACAGAACCTTAGCAAATTGCCTAGTTTCAATGATTCATTTCTATGCTGAGGGAGCCATTACTTGAAATTGCAGCGAATAGAATAGCTCTTGGCTACAGAGAGTGTTGTTGCAGAAAGAAGGTAAATCCGTCTCTACCTGATGTCCCTGAGTTCTCTGCACCTGTAGCAAAATAGAGGGACACAAGTCGTTTAATGAGGAGAAAAGCTACAGGTGGGTGGAGGCAGAGCTGGGAGAGTGTTTCTGATTCTTAGCCCCCTGCCTTGTGCTCACCAGACTGCCTCCCATGGCTTAATATCGACAGATGCTCTACACTGATCATGCTGAGAGCTTGAGTTCTGAAATAGGGGAGCTTCTGCCACAGTTTTCATTCTGAATTGATGGGGCATAATCCTTGAAATAATCGATAATCCCAGTCGTAAAATCATTAAAATTCCATATTGGATTGCTTTATACTGTTTCCTTTACTCTACCAGGCTCCCTGGCTGGTTCCGCCCCCCTTTCTTTTTGATTCGTCTAAGTTAAACTCCGGGCAGTATACAACAGAGGTTAAGTCTGTGTGCTCTGGAGCTGGAGTGAATTCAGAGTCCAGTTCAGTCACTCACTAGCCACGGGGCTTTGGCAATCCTCTCGTGCCTCAGTTTCCTCACCTATACAGTGGAGGTGATGATGATGATACCACTGACCTCCTGAGACTGCTGTGAGGATACGATGAGTTAATACCCCAGGTGCACAAGCACAGTGCCTGACCTAGAGTAAGCACCACGGAAGCGTGGGCTACTTTATACAATGTTTCCAGGGAACAGAAGACGCAAGCAGATGACGCGTCTTCATTTGCTACCAGCAGTTTTCAACATCGTTATCATTATCAGAAAAATGTGATATACTATTGGGCATTATTTAGCTTTCAAGAATACTTTTCAGAAGGATTTCTTAGTTCTTTTAATGTGTAGTATTGAGAATATGTTGTGAGTACAATGATACTTGTATTGGGGGTGTCTGCTTTAAGTCAAGTTTGAAACATTATTCGGGCGCAAGGGAGTGAGCGCAGCAGATAGTAGAGCCACTGATGACTTCTTCACTGACCGTACGAGCATTCGGAAGTAGGACCTGCTAATTGCTGTGGTAGATACCACCCTATGTGTCTCAGTATTGCCCTTGTCACGTCTGAAATATTCTTTTGAGTGATATATTATGGGAGTTTGATATCATTGAAGTTAAATATTTCTATATCATTTGGGTTGTGACAACTGAAATAGTGATCATATGGAGTTTAGTTAACTATATATTATTATGTATAGTTACATATAGTAGTTAAGTATATAATTTCAATTTAGAGTTTGAATAGTGTCCTGGAATGTGCTGATCATTGTAATCACCTTTAAAAACCATTCTGTGCCAAATACAAGCAAACAAAACAAAACTTTGAAATGACCTTCCCTTTTGGTTCTGTGTTTTTTTCGTTTCCCCAGAAAATATTCCTGTGAAAGATCTTCATGGAAGACTTTACATCAACCGTGTTTTTCATATCAGTGCTGAGAAAATGTTTGAATTGCTCTTCACCAGTTCACGCTTTATGCAGAGATTTACCAATTCTAGAAATATAATAGGTTGGTCTTGTGTTCCTATCTAATGATAAGTTTGGGAGAATTTTATTATCCTTAGAGGGTTGAGCCTATATAAATTGATTTATGTTGACAGGGAGAAAAATTAGGCAGGCTTTGATTTTACTTTGGTGATATATAAACTAGTATTTAAGTGTTTAGGTTAAATTCAATGTAAACAGTATTAGTCAGGTCCTACCTATGATTAAATTCAGACCCTTTGAAAACTAAAACTCTGTTTATTTATAAATGTAGCAGTTCGATTGGGTTGAACCCTGTTTAAAAGGGTTCCATTGTGGAAAAACCGGATGCTACTAGAGGGTAAATTGGTACAATCACTTTGCAAAATGGTTTGGCAGAATCTACTAAAGCTGAACATAAGCATTCTCTGTGACTTATCAGTTCTTCTACTAGACATACATCTTCCGAAATGGGTACATGTGTTCTCTGGATGACGTGCTACGGTGTTCATAGCAGCATTATTTATAATGGCCCCCAAACTCAAAACTGCTGAAACATCCACTAGTAATAGAAGGGATAAACAAATTTCACACAAAAGAATACTATAAAGCAATGAAAAAGCAAACCGCTGCTACTTAATAACAATTGAGTCAATCTCACAAATATAATGTGAAGCAAAAGAGTACCTATTGTGATTCCTAATTTAAATAAAAAACAGGCAAAACTAATTTATGAACATAAAATCAGCATAGTAGTTACCATTGTGGAGAGTCGGGTGGGTGAAGGCTGGGAGGGAGCTTCCGGGATGCTGGTCAAGTTCTCTGTCTTGATCTGGGTAGTGGTACATGCGTGTGTTTTCTTTGTGAAAATTCCTGGAGTTATACACTTGAGATTGCAGTGTCTGTGGTATACCTCAATGAAAATACCAAAAAAAGTTCCAGTTAGGAAATTAGTTACACTCATATAAAGGATTTCATTGATTGTCTTAGAAGTTTTATTTTGGTAAACATCTCAAATAAGCTTATAGTTAGTTTGAAACTCAATTTATCCTAAATATTTCAAGATATTTTATAAACTTTGGGAGCACATGGTTTAGCTTGCTATACAAGGTTAGAAGACAGCAGCAGCAGAGATTTACATAAGGTGAGTCATTTGACATAGTCCAAGAGAGAGTTATTCTACAATTTAAATACAGTTTATAATCTAGCCATTTTATTAACCATTAGATGTTATTCCTTTATTAAAAACTTTTATGTAAACATAATTACATATTCATAGATTATATCATTGATATGGATTCTAGATACAAAAATAATTTTTCTTATTCATAGTAGAGTAGCAAAGCGATTTCTAATTGATAGCTATTGAGTCTTGTGATTAGATTAAGAATTTCATAGTTTTAAAAAATCATTTTTTTTTCTGTTCTCCCAGTTTTAAGATTTTATTTATTTATTTTTTTCCCCCAAAGCCCCAGTAGATAGTTGTATGTCATAGCTGCACATTCTTCTAGTTGCTGTATGTGGGACACGGCCTCAGCATGGCCAGAGAAGCGGTGTGTCGATGCGCGCCCAGGATCCGAACCCGGGCCGCCAGCAGCAAAGCGCACGCACTTAACCGCTAAGCCACGGGGCCGGCCCCTCTGTTCTCCCAGTTTTAAAAAGGTGGAATATCTGAGGGATATAAATCTTCCTTTTCACTCAGTGGCTTATATTTAACTTACTATATCTGTTCTGAATCTATTTTGTTTTTTCTTGCTATTCATGTCTACCTGGAGAACTTGATATTTCATAAGAGTTGGATACATTATTTCTCTTAATTTTCTAAGATGATGGCCTGTTGATATTGCATTGCCATTTTTATGGCTGCAAAGGCCCACGAGGAACTAGCATGTTATTCCACGCTGATATTAAATGAACTTTGTCTTTTGAATCACAACTGCATTTGGTGTCTGATATCGTATCTAGCTTCAATATGGATGAATACATTTGCTGTCTGATGTTATAAATGGCTTTGGGAAGCAAAGGCTTCTGGCTAATTTTAAATATAAATAGTTATAAGCATATTGCTGTTTAGACCTAGAATTAGTCAAAAGGTTTTCCCCAAAAGAGATAATCTGCTATGATTGCACACCATTCTGCTATCTTCTGACCTTGTTACCTGGTAATAAAAGTTGTATTTCTTGAGAATGGGTTTCAAAGCCTTCTTTTTAAAAATGTTAAGAATTTAATGAAAAATTTTTGTATAGTGAATTATTTGTAGATTTAATCTAATTTCAGCACTAAAATGGCTACTACCGGATCTAATTTTTTTTTTTTTAATTAGGGAGCTTTTAAATAGATATTCTTGTAAATCTTTGTTTACAGCTTTATGACACCACTTTCGTAATTCAAAACTTAGTTTTAAGTCTTTTTATTCAACTTTTTTTTTTTTTTTTTGGTGAGGGAGATTGGCCGTGAGCTAACCTCCATTGCCAATCTTCTTCTTTTTGCTGAAGAAGATTGGCCCTGAGCAAACATCTGTGCCCATCTTCCTCTATTTTATATATGGGATGCCACCACAGCATGGCTTTATGAGCATGTGCTTAGGTCCGCGCCTGGGATCTGAACCTGCGAACCCTGGGCCACCAAGGTGGAGTGCGCGAACTTAACCACTACGCCACCGGGCTAGCCCCTATTCAACATTTTAATTTTGAAAATATGTAAACCTTCAGAAAAGTTGCATGAATAGTATAATAAAACCCATATACCCATCACCTAGATTCACCAACTTTTTTTCATTGTGGTAAAATGTATACATAACATGAAATTTACCATTTTAACCATTTTTAAGTGTACAATTAAGTGGCACTAAGTACATTCATATTGTTGTGCAACCATCACCACCATCCATTTCTGGAATTGTTTCATCTTCTCAAACTGAAACTCTGTACCTATTAAACAGTAACTCTCCATTTCCCCCTCCTCACAACTCTGGATGACCACCATTCTACTGGCTGTCTCTATGAATTTGGCTACTCTAAGTACCTCATATAAGTGGAATCATACAATATTTGTCCCTTTGTGACTGGCTTATTTAACTTAGCATAATGTCTTCAAAGTTTTTCCATGTTGTAGCATGTGTCAGAATTTCATGCCTTATTAAGGCTGAATAATATTCTATTGTATGTCTATACCACATTTTGTTTATTCATATGTCGATGGAGTTTTGAGTTGTTTCCACTTTTTGGTTATTGTGAATAATGCACTGATGTGAACACTGATGTGCAATATCTATTTGAGTCCCTGCTTTCAATTCCTTGTATATACCTAGAAGTGGAATTGCTGGGTCGTAAGGTAATTCTGTGTTTAATTTTTTGAGGAACTGCCATCCTGCCATACATTTTACATTCCCACCAGCAATGCACTAAGGTTCCAGTTTCTCCACATCCTCGCCAACACTTGTTATCTTCAGTTTTTTGTGAAAATAGCCATCCTAATGGGTGTGACCATTCATCAATTTTAAAACTTTATTACATCAAAGGATTCTTAAACTATTGGTTCCGCAATTCCTGCTTTTTATTATTTCAAATCAATACATCAAAATGGCTCACATGTCTTTTTGTTTACTATTGCCATTTTTCTTATAATTTCATCCCCAATTTTTTATATCATGATGAGCTTTACTTAGGTATTGGGGCTTGACTATTCCAAGATATTGTTACTTAGATGATGTTCTAGCACAAGATATTCAGTAGGCTTTTTGGTAACACTGGTGAAAATAGAAATGGAAAACAGATACTTTTATCCTTGTTGATAGTTGCTTTGTTGAATAGTTTTCAGTTTTTTTTTTTTTTTTGCTGAGGAAGATTAGCCCTGAGCTACCATCGGCTGCCAGTCTTCCTCATTGTTTTTTTTTCTTGAGGAAGATATTAGCCCTGAGCCAACATCCACACCAATCTTCCGCTACTTTTTATACGTGGGTTGCCACCACAATGTGGTTGATGAGTGGTGTAGGTCTGCGCCCGGGATCCGAAACTGGAAACCCGGGCCACTGAAGCGGAGCATGCCGCACTTAACCACTAGGCCATGGGCTGGCCCTGAATAGTGTGCAGTTTTTTGTGTGTGTATGTGTGAGGAAGATCAGCCCTGAGCTAACATCCATGCCAATCCTCCTCTTTTTTTGCTGAGGAAGACTGGCCCTAAGCTAATATCTTTTGCTAATCTTCCTCCTTTTTTTCCCTTTTTCTCCCCAAAGCCCCAGTAGATAGTTGTATGTTATAGTTGCACATCCTTCTAGTTGCTGTATGTGGGACGCGGCCTCAGCATGGCCAGACAAGCGGTGCGTCGGTGTGCACCCGGGATCCGAACCCTGGCCGCCAGTAGCAGAGCGCACGCACTTAACTGCTACCCCACGGGGCCGGCCCCAGTGTGCAGTTTTAACAGCAGGATTCAATGATATCTTTAAATTCTGTTGCTGATTAACAATGGATTATTTGTACAGACTGTCCTCCTTCGACTTATGATGGTTTGATTTAGGATTTTTTGACTTTATGATGGTGCGAAAATGAAACGCATTCAGTAGAAACCATACTTCGAATTTTGAATTTTGCTCTTTTCCTGGGCTAGCAATATGCAGTGCGATGCTCTCTCGTGATACTAGGCAGTGGCAGTGAGCCCCAGCTGCTAGTCAGCCACGTGATCATGAGGGTAACAACTGATGCATGTACAACCATGCTGTCCCCATACAGCCATTCTGTTTTTCACTTTTAGGACAGTATTCAATAAATTACATGAGTTAGTCAACACTTTATTATAAAATATGCTTTGTGTTAGATGGTTTTGCCCAACTGTAGGCTAGTGTAAGTGTTCTGAGCATGTTTAAGGTAGGCTAGGCTAAGCTATGATGTTCTGTAGGTTGGGTGTATTAAATGCATTTTTGACATAATATTTTCAACTTATGATGGGTTTGTCCAGCTGAGGAGGAAGATCTGTATAATTTTTCTGAAACAGGCTGGCATTGACCAAAGTAATCTTTTGAAAAGTATTTTAGAATTAATTTTATATCTTCTCTCATGTACACCTAAATAAATCATTTTACAGGAAATTCTGGATGATAGATTCCACAGTTTGTGATGTTGCCTTTTTAATTTAGTTGTAAGATTTTTCCAGATACTCAAAAGGCAGCTTCAGGATCCCTCATTAAATCCCTAGGCCAGGGCCGGCCCCGTGGCTTAGCGGTTAAGTGCTCGGGCTCCGCTGCTGGCGGCTCGGGTTCGGATCCCTGGCGCTCACCGAAGCACAGCTTCTCCAGCCATGCTGAGGCCGCGTCCCACATACAGCAACTAGAAGGATGTGCAACTATGACATACAACTATCTACTGGGGCTTTGGGAAGAAAATAAATAAAAATTATAAAAAAAAAAAAAAAATCTACGCCAGTAAAACTGGATATATCCTAAAGCCTTGCTTGATTCCTTTGATGATGGTAATGGGTGAGAGAAGGGCTCCTACATTTTAGGATGCTGGTGAATAGCAGCCAAACATACCGATTGCCTAAGTCCACGTGTGCTGACAGCATCAGGTGATTCAGTCAGATCTTTGAATAGAGTTCATGCTGCTGTTACCCATGCTTTCCTAGTCTTTTTAGCTTGTAAAATGACCTTCACTGTATAGTGCTATGTTCTAAAGATATATTTCTGTTCAAAGTGTGTTTCTACTCACTGTGTTACTGCTAAACAAATGAAAGAGAATTCTGATCAAGAACTTGCTATAAATACAGAGAGATTACCCTACATGGGTTTCTTAAATATAGAAGAGGTTATATGGTTATTTATATTCCATTGCCCCCTCCTTGATTAAAGATTTGGCAGATAAGCCCTTAACATTACATGATTTCTCCAAGTTGGGATCAAGGTCATGTTGTTGCATAATGACAAATGGCTTTCAAGGTTTTGTCCTCAAAGATGGGAGTGTCGAAGTGTTGTTCTGTCTCTGTTAAGGCTGGCATGATTACTTCTCTTCATAGGTACTGGGGACTTTAAAAAAGAAGCCTACAAGTGAACCAACTTTTAATTTTATCTTTAAAGAAAAGTAAAAGTGTATTAATAGACAACAGTTTAGAAGTCAGTGGATCAGCGATGGGGAATATGTCACATATAAGATGAGTGCCTAACATTTAATTTTCCTTTTCTTTAATGTTAACTAACACACAGTGTTAAGGAAGTTAGGACTGGTCAAAAATAAAAATTTAAATAATTCAAAAACTACCTCTTTGATTTCATTTTAAGTCATACCCTTCAAATTTCTAGAATTAACTCATTTTATGTTTGCTGTGATTAGATGTAGTATCTACCCCTTGGAATGTAGAACCTGGAGGTGATCAGCTGAGAACCATGACCTACACAATAATCCTTAACAATCCACTTACTGGAAAATGCACCACTGCCACTGAAAAGCAGGTATGTCTGCTCTGTCAGTATTCCCAAAGAGTCATGTGTGTAGGAAGAGAGAAGATGCCTGTCACAGTCACCAATTTACAAAACAATTTCAACAAATAAATGGCAAGTAAAAAAGGGAGGAGAAACCGTTACAGGTTAAAAGAGACTTAAGAAGCAAATCAACCATATCAACCCAATCCTAATTGAAACAAACCAACTGTAAAAAGGTATTTATGAGATTTAAGGAATTGTTAATTTTTTGTATGTAATAATGATATTGTAGCTGTATTTTAAAGAGAATAATATTTATCTTTTAAAGGGACATACTGAAGAATTTATAAAGAGATAGAATTTATAAAGACTGACGTGTTTATGGATGAAATTATATTGATGTCTGGGATATCCTTTAAGAGTAATCTGGCCAGGCAGAGGATGGCGGTGGGGGGAGGGAACGAGGGAGGGGTACAGATGAAACAGGCCTGGACAGGAATTAATGTTGTTGAAGCTGGTTGATGACTTGATGAGTGTTCATTATACTTCATTTCTTTTTTTTTTTTTTTTTGGTGAGGAAGATCAGCTCTGAGCTAACATCCATACCAATCCTCCTCTTTTTGCTGAGGAAGACTGGCCCTGGGCTAACATCGATGCCCATCTTCCTCCACTTTATGTGGGATGCCGCCACAGCATGGCCTGACAAGTGGTGTGTAGGTGCGCGCCCGGGATCCGAACCTGGGCTGCCAGCAGCGGAGCATGTGCACTTAACCGCTACACCACGGGGCCGGCCCCTATACTTCATTTCTACTCTTGTTGTCTGTTGGAACTTTTTCATAATAAATGGTTTAAAAAAAAAACATTACTGGAATCTGATTTATGGGATCATGTCAAAGGTTAGGGCCAAATAACTAGACGGCTACTGTGACATATAGAGAAGAGATGACATGATATTTAATGCTCTACTCTGTGACCAGTGTGGCATTGTCTTACTATGGGGTTCGTGTTTGGCCAATTTGTGTTGAAGTATAGTGTATCTGTCTGTTCTGCAAATAGTTTGAAAATATCTAGTAACATCTGAACTAGTTATGCGACTGTAGTTTTTGTCCATCGGTGTTAAAATTAGAGACTTAAAAAAAATTTTTTTTCAAAAGATTTTCAAACATTTAAGAAAAGTTTGGTATTTTGGTATTGCAGAGTCTGAGAACCTTAGAGGACAGGTAGAGAAGGGGTGGTTAAAATGAGGAAGGTTTGGCCAGCGACCACTTCAAATCCTGTTTAGGGAAAGTGGTGTTTTGTCTGGTTTTCCTCTTCCTTCACATTTTTGGTGAAGGGTGGATTTGTTAAACTTTGATGAATTTTGGGGTGGGGTCCTTGCTTTGTTCAGTTGAATTTTTCCCCTATCAGGAACATTTAAAATTCTTTATAAACTAATAATACACACAAGAGATTATATGATTCCTTTCTCCTCTTCATGCCTAAAAGAAAGAAAAATATAATTATACAATGAAATGACAGGGAGGCAGCAAATACTATTTTTGCAGGTCCCTTCTCCTCAATTTAAAGATAACACAGCCAACATGGAGGCTCTTCTGGCTTTGTATATAGGCTTCTGATGTCTTTTGTAATTTGTGGGAAGGAATTCTAGTAGATATGTTCTAAATTGGCAAGGAACTCGATATATTAAACATGTATATGCAAAAACTTTTTCATCTTATTTTGGCAGACACTGTATAAAGAAAGTCAGGATGCACAGTTTTATTTGGTAGATGCAGAAGTACTGACACACGATGTTCCCTACCATGATTACTTCTATACCGTGAACAGATACCACATCATCCGGTCCTCGAAACAGAAATGCCGGCTGAGGTGAGCTGTCCTCAAGGAGTGTTTTAGTCAGGGTAGGCTAGATTATGCTCCAGTAACATATTAATCCTAAAATTTTTGTAGTAGCTTTACACAACACGGCATTATTTCTTGCTCAAATTACATGTCCCCCAGCGGTCAGCAGAGAGGTGGGACTCCTCACCCAGTGCCCCACACTGATGACCGCTTTGCCATCCGAGAGCTGCACAATCCAGAACGTGTGTCACTTCGGTGTGTACAGAAAGAGAGAGCTGTAGAATTGTGCTCACAGTCCAGTGGGCAGAACGAGTCACAGGACCCTGGTTAATGGCAGGGGGCTGGGAGTTCTCCAGGAGCCCATGGTGGGCAGTAAACCACTCTAGTGCCATGGGGAATGAAAAATGTCGGTGCATTTAAGATAGTGATGGGCCATTATATGCTTGGCCTAGTCTTAGCTAATGTAGTTATTTTCATAGAATGACCACTAGAGATTTTTTAGACAAGGCATTTAGGAAATTCAGAATTTATTTTGAGCCTTTATTGCTATTTAAGTAAAGAAAATTCAGGGCTAGAGAAAGGAAAGAAAAAATGCCACGTACTTAGAGGGAAAATTTGATGGAATTACTAGCAGCACACAGTCATTTTTTAAAGAAGTCTTTATCAGGAACAGATTTTCTTTTATAATCTTAATGACTTTGAATCCTTTTGGCTTTCCATGGAATTCAATCTTACATTTAATTACAACGTTAATATAACTAAATTCTGTCCTTTAAATAAATATTCTTCTTTCCTCCTTATCCTATTAGAGTTTCCGCAGATTTGAAATACAGGAAACAACCATGGTCCATTGTCAAATCTTTAATTGAGAAGAATTCCTGGAGTTCACTGGAGGACTATTTCAAACAGCTTGGTTTGTAAACTTCTTGATTTATCTATTTTTGTAAAGACAGCATTTATTAACAAAATGGGTTGATTCTTCACTTGGATTCATAGCAGGAACTGGTAGATGATGTTGGAATGACTCCCACTGAAGTGGTTCCAACTACCCCACTTGGAATTTCAAAACTGTAAATTTTCATTGGTTTAACAGACACACATATAATGCTTATTACATGCCAGACGTTGTTCTACGTGCTTTATAAATATCAACTCATTACAGCCCTGTGAGGTAGGTACTATTATTTTTTTTCCATTTTACTAAAAAAGAAATTTTGAACCACAGAGACAGGTTAAGTGACTTGTTCAAGATCACACTGTTAGGGGCTGTCACGTGCACTGCCTCTGCGAGGAGCCACGGAGGCTGACTGTAGTGAGGGGCTGCAAAACTCAGTCATAAACATGCCCTTGTGTTTGCTAAGGTCTGGGGAGCCCTCGGGCCCTCCCTTAGCAGCCCAGCTTTTCTGGATTTATGCAGGGCCACTTAGCAATGGATCATGCACACGTATGGATTACTAGACTGAGGGAAGTCATACAGTTGTTCTGTTTGGATATTCCTTAAAATACACATGAGGAAAAAAATACACATACATGAGCATAATTAATTTCAGTTCAAGAAAAGCTGGTGGGCAGTCAGCTCAGGTAATTTAAGGCTTCATCATCTAGTTTGTTGGTTATTTATTTTCCTTGCTTTTCTGTCTTCGGCTATTTCATTATTAAGCTCCTTTTCAGGAGCAAAGAAAATGCAAGTCAAAAATTAGTTTGGCTACTGGATAACGGGCTTCTTAATAAAAATCTGGTGAAGGAAAAGGTTGAAACAAATGACAAAAATGAGGTTTTTAGGTTGTCTGCAGATTTTCTTTACTAGTGCTTCCTTTTTTGCAAACTCTCATTGTAAATTAGAACTATTATATGCTACGCCTTCCTTTGAGATTGACAATCACGTACTATAATCTATCTTGGAAATCTTTCTAATGATCCACTAGAGGTGGGTAGCCTGTTGTTTCCATAACTTAACTCATTACATTAATATTTAATATAGCACATGGCGAATTTGCTCTGATGATCCCATCATTTATTAATACAGTTCTTTTTCCTGGAATAACGAAGCCTCATGATGGGATAACCGTACTCTCTAAAACTTTTCATTAAGAGTAAGGTTTGAATCTTGGCCATAAGAACCTAAGTAATAGTTAAAGAAAGTTACCAAGGCTTAAAAAAACAAACTGAGAACAAAATAACAACCAGACCCTGTGTATGTTATAGTTGAGAAGCTTTCTCCACTATCTAAAGAGTTTTTTTTTCTTCTTAGAATCAGATTTGTTAATGGAAGAAACTGTGTTAAATCAGTCCATTGAAGACCCTGGAAAACTTAGTGGCCTACGAAGGAGAAGGCGAACGTTCAACCGAACAACAGAAATGGTTCCTAAGCTTTCCTCTCAGCGTTCTTCTGGAGACGCAGGCCTAGATGCCAAAGGAGATGTTACAGGTAGCTGTTAGCTGGTACACAGAGATAAAAGATTTTAGTTTACTTATGTGAAGGAGAATATTCCTCTTGTTTATACGACACATCAGTTAGGGTGTCTCCCTTTCTTCTTTCCTTTTCTGATAATGTTTATCAAACTCTGAGTTCCTTAAAGATAATTAATATATAGGTAAAAAGGAGCAGTTGCAAAATGGCTGGCATATGGCCAGTAGAAGTATTTTATTGGGCCTACATGGTATTTTAAAAATTGGACATTTTTATATAAAAACTCAGATCTGACGGCCCTGGACCCAAATCCCTTCATAGCAACAGTCGGTTGGAGCTTAGTGGTAGCTGCCCCATTGGTGGTGTGTGTGTGCTCCCCAGGTCACCATCCCCACCACTGACCCCAGCTGCTGGACGCTTTGCTCATTAATTTCCCGCCCAGCATTTACAGATATCTGATTTGTACTCTGGAATGTACTACAAGGATTATATGCTTTTAGTCCTTATGTCAGGGCCAGTCCAGTAAAACTGCAAAGGTGGAATTTGACTTTCATTATCTCCACTCTCAATTTTGAAGACATCTTGCCTCTACTAATTGTTACTACCTCCCTCTCAGACCTACAAAACTGTCATTCCTTCTCTTCTTTCTATATTATCAAATCCTCTTCTAATGCTTATATCTTAGTGTGAATGTGTTTAGCTACCATTTAAACTTAATGGCTCTTTAATTTTGGAATTTAAAAGTTGGGGCAACAGAGAACAGGTGAGGATGATTAAAAAAAATTTTTTTTTTAAGGAGGGAAGCACTGTACATGAACCCAGCTCAAATATTATTGCCGAGATGGAGCTTAGCTAGAGATGGTACATGATGTATTGAATTGCTTATTTAATTTTAGAGTAAATTAATTTGTAATATAGGCCAAATTTGCAGGATGGATGTAGGTTTTCTTTTTGTAGATTTGTTTTATATTACTCAGGATATCAGACATCAAAATAGGGGTGCAGGGAATTCACCCTAAATCACTTTGTCTTTACAAATAATTTTTTATTTTTATTTTTTTTGTGAGGAAGATTAGCCCTGAGCTAACATCCATTGCCAATCCTCCTCTTTTTGCTGAGGAGGATTGGCCCTGGGCTAACAGGCATGCCCATCTTTCTCTACTTTATATGGGACGCTGCCACAGCATGGCTTGACAAGCGGTGCATCGGTTCACACCCGGGATCCGAACCTGTGAACCCCGGGCCACCGAAGTGGAGCATGTGAACTTAACCACTAAGCCACCGGGCCGGTCCCTACAAATAATTTTTTAAATTTCTGTTTCCAGTTCTTTCAAATGAAATTGATTTTTACCAGTTGTAATCACAATCCTGATTCTAATGCAGCCTTTTGTGTGTGTGTGTGTGTGTGTGATCTGCAGGAAAGAAGAAGGACATGGAAAGCTGTAACACCACCCTTATCGTGGTGATGAGTATTTTGTAAGTAGTTGCTTTGAATGCTTATTTTGCTTGTGTCTTATCTTTTAACAGTTTTCAAAGGGATTTGAATGCATTTATATATTATTGTGTAGAAATTGCCACTATTTGACCAATTTTGACCTACAAAAACAGTAGTTTTGTATGCTTCAGTCTGATAGTTTTTGATGTATGATTTTCAGAAGAATTATTAAATTTCAGGGAATATCAAGTACACATTCATAAATGTTTTTATTTTTTAAACTAATCTGATTTATTTCTACCATCATAGGTTTTTATGGGAAGTTCCATAAACTTAAGGGGAATATTTACATATGCAGGCTGGTGAAATCCCAAAAGTGCTATTTGATTAGACCAGGGTCCTTACCCTTTACTGTGCATAAGAATCACTTGCTAAAATGCAGCTTTCTCAGACCCAATCTCAGAGATTGAGTTAATAGGTCTTGAGTAGGGATGGGGAATCAGTATTTTAAAATGCACACTCACATGGTGAGAAATACTGGGGCAATTAGTCTGAATCTCAGCGTAATCTATGGGAATCTACTCAGCTAGTCACAGTTAGACTATTATCTACATGGCTCATCTTGAATCTTGAGGTAGTCCATTATATTTAAATGAATTGGTTCTAACTGGGTGATATACTCTGGGTGAATATTTTTTGGAATGAGGTTCTTTGATCAGGTGTTTTCTTTAATGAGAGATTTCAGAACATAGAAAATGTTTGTTGTGCCTTGGAGTTTTATAAAAGGTTTTCATATTCTAAGTTGGTTTGCTATGACAATTTTGAATAGTAAATATTATCAGTGATCTTCTGCATTACTTTGCAGAAAATTTATGGTCAAATGTTGAAATGCTGATCTATGTACTATTTCAGTGCCACAATAGTTTCATAGATTTGATTTTTTTGCCACTACTTTAGTTTTTACTTTTTAAAAAATCCTCTTCTGGACAGGTAAAGGTGAATACTGTATATTTCAAGGGCAAGTCAATATTTTAACAGAAAAATAAGAGCGAGATGATGCCACCTATATATTTGCATATATGTGTAAAAGAAATATATGCATTCAGTTGAAAGGCTGCTGTGAGAACTAACAGAGTAAGCTCATTTAGCAGGTAACATTTTATATATGACACCATTAATGTATATTTGGGATTTGATACTTCCTTTGTCTAAGTTGAACTAGAAATTTTTGCTGAATGGTAATTTTTAAAATTAGTTTTGGCTTCCCCTGGGAATAAGAGGTACATCATGCTTTACCTAAGATCAAGTCCATATTGATCTTCATTTCCTGTTTGAAGTGCAGCATTATGGGTGTATAATTGCTTAAGCCAAAAGCACCCAAAAATAGATCTTGAAAGCTTCCCTGGTAGATTTCTAAGCTGGTGGCCGCTTATCAACACTGGCTGGGATTCCTGGCAGAAAGAGGAGATGTCAGGGACAATCCCAACCTGCTTTATTTGAGGACTTTACTGTCACTCTAGTTACCTGCCAACTTTTTTCTCAATGTCTACTTAATACTTAAAAGTAATTATTTCATACAAAAAAATAGAGATAATTGATTTAAGTAATAGCAATGATTGGAAACTAATCTAGATGATATACATTTTTGAAGCTTTGCATGTGTATTCTGCATTAGCAGTGCTTCAGGTCTGGATAAGGGTGGATTAACCAGGTATGATTTGCTCTGCCTAGTTTGCTGTTGCTAGTTTTGTTGAATGTGACTCTGTTTCTGAAGCTGTCAAAGATAGAACATGCGGCTCAGTCCTTTTACCGTCTCCACCTGCAAGAAGAGAAATCTTTAAAGTAAGTATCCCCCCACCCCAATCTGTTATTATTTCGATTCTTTAGTTGCAGAAAATTTAATTCCAGTTTTAGAGATTTGGGTCTGCTAACTATTCTGTAGTCATAAACTTTTTTTTGTTTGTTTAATTTTTTGTTTTGTTTGCAAATTTATGGGGCATGGAGGATTTCTAGAAATGAAAGATTAAAAGCTATTCCCTTGGTTATTAAGATGGTATTTTCCTTTCAGTTTAGCCTCTGATATGATGTCAAGAGCAGAAAATATTCAGAAGAACAAAGATCAGGCCCATCGTTTAAAAGGAGTGCTCCGAGACTCCATCGTGATGCTTGAACAGGTGGGCATCTGCGTGCACCGCAGTACCGGGGACTCTTGCACCAGGATGAATCATTGCTCCTCTGGTTGTGGGAGAATATTGGCTATACCATTATTTGAAGAAGTCTCCCTCCTAGAGGCAACTATCCTTGCCAGTTTCTGCATTATGGATATTATGTACATAGTCACTTGTACTGTTTTTACAAAATGGGAGCATACTATACACACCATTGCCTACCCTCTTTTTTCAATTAGTAATATATTTTGAAGATGTTTCCATATTAGCATGTATATATCTACCTCATTCTTATTGATCTTTCTATATACAATTTTATGCTTAATATTAACTCTTTTTATAGAAATGGTAGATACTGTATATACTGTTCATTATTTTGTTTTTATCTATTAACCATGTATCTTGGAGATACTTCTATATCAGCATATAAAGCACTTCCTTTTCTTTTAACAGCTGCATAGACGTCAACTGTATAAATGTGCCATAATTATTTTACCAGTTCTCCAGTGAAGAATGAACATTTAGCTTATTTTGGTGTTTTGTTATAAACATCTCTTGGACATAGTGTCATCAATATGTGCTGCTCAATTCCATGAACCAAAACTTAGGACTCCCTTTGAAAAATAAAGATTAATATTTCCATTATAATACAAGCTTACTTTTCAAAATTGAAAAATAAAGAATAGTAGAAGAGAAGAAAATCTATAGTTGTAGCATTCACACGTAATCACTGTTAAGTCTTTATTTCCTTCCATCCTTTTCTTGTATGCATTGATTTGTTTTTTAGAATATTCAGTTCTTGAGCATTTCTTAGGCTATCACGCAAGGCACTGAAGATTACAACTTAAACTCAGCACTCTTCAGACGCACAGTATCTACAGTTCCATAATAGCTTTCTCCCCCAGTCTCAGCAAGGAGTCTACCATATTCTCACTTTTCTCCTCATCCTCTCCTCCCATTTCCCCCCAGTCACTCTCGACTGATGACCATGCTTCAAGGACAAAAGAGACATTCCCTCTGCTTCCATAAACAAATCTCCAAACCTTCCTATCGCTGCTCCCCTGTCCTCTTCTCCACTCCCGTTAGAGCATCCCTCTGCCTGTGGGAGGCAATCTCCACACGTTAGCAGGAGACTCCGTCCATCACCACTCTAGCTTCCCCATTTTCATCTCCCTCATTGAACTGGATCTTCACCATCAGCACATCACTCTGCTCGGCTATCTCCTACATTAAAGAGCCCACATCATCCACATCCTTCTCTCTCTACTTGTCTCTCTCCACTCCCTTCCACAGTCACCCTCTTTCAGAGCGGCCTGCTCTGGCTGTCACACTGCTTTATCCTTCATAACCATTCACTTTTTCAAGGTTTTATTTTCACCAAAATCACTTGTTCTCATAAAGAGTTAACTTGTTCTACAAGGTTTGTTCAGAAAAATAGCAACGCCAGCACCCTCCTCTCTATTTCTTTCCCAAAGACAACAATCTTTTAACTCTTTTAGTTTATTCTTCTGGTGTTTACTTCCATATTTATAAACAACAAGCATGTATCGATACTTCTTGATTTTTCTGTTTTAGACATTATCGTTTGACTTCTTTTATGAAAGACAAGGATTTTGTTTTCTTTTACTTCTTCTTGTGCCCATTTCTAATTTCCCCATCCTCCCACGGAAGTTACAATTTTGGTTAGATCAATATTCAGCGTTTGCTTTGTTCTGACTAAGTTTGCTATTTTGAGCTGAGCCAGAGAATAAGCCATGACTACTTTTTCTTTTCTGTGCTTTTTCTTATCCCTGAAATTTTCTTATTACAGTTGATTAGTATTTCATCCCCGAATGCTCTGTCTGTTGTATGAATCTCCTTTCATAATCCTCATTCACTGCAGGAATTCTATCAGTGGAGCCCCTGACGGGCTCCTCTCAGGACGGGTGGCCCTCCTCGTGGGTGCACAGCTGTCGTCCTGGGGATTCCTATTGTCCATTGCCTTTGTTTCCTTTACCCCCTCCTTTTAATGGAGCATATCTTCTAGTCTTTCCTGAGAAAGACAGTATGGAGCTAAATATTTTAAGACTTCAACTGCCTGAAAACTTCTTATTCTGTCCTTCCCCTTGATTAATAGTTGGGCTGGGGATAGAATTCTGGTGTGGATATAGTGTTCTTTCAGAACATTTACGGCACTGCTCCATTTTCTTTTGTTTCTAGTTTTGATCCCGAGAATTCCGAGGCTGTTAGCATTCCTAATCCTTTAATCTGGAAACTCATGCCCTTTAGGTCTGGGAAGTAGTGAGTTATATAGTTATTTCCTCCCCCCAATTCTCTCTGACTTCCGACAGCTCCTGTAATTCAGATGTCGGCCTTCTATTGACTGGTTGTCTAATCTTCTTACCTTTTCTTTCCAGCTTCTGTTTCTTTGCCTTTTTGTTCTGCTTCCTCAGAGATTTCTTCAACTTCATCTTCAAATTCTTCTATTGAGTTTTTCAATTTTTGCTAACAAGTTTTTAATTTCAAAGAGCTATTATTTCTCTGAATTTTCTTTTTTTATGGCAATGTGATCTTTTTAAATGGCTGTAATATCTGTATCTTTGACCATATTACTGATAGTTAAAAAAATTTTGCTTTCCTTTTTCTTGCATACTCACTTTCCATCAAGATCTTCCTTCCTTGTTCTGATTTCTGTCCTTCAGGTTAGAGGATTTCTTTAGATGTCTGTAGTCCTTGGTTGCCTGCTTGTATGGATCAGAAGCTCTTAACATGTGAGTCGGGCTGGTCTACCCTGAACTTCTCTGTAGATCTGGCTGGGCTGTTGGTTGAGAAATCCTGATATCAGTATCTTTAGGTCTTTCCTCCTGGATTGGTCAGTTTCCACAGAGAAGACTCTCCTACCTGAAGGATTAAGGGCTGGCTGCCAGTGTTTTAGGAGCTGAGTGAAAGAAGAGAGATGGGGCTGGGGGGCAGGGCAGAGGGGATGGTCTCAACATTCAGTATATACTCTTTCGTATAATCCCCATTTTTGGTATGGTACCACTGTCTTTACCGACGTCTTGATGTCCACCCCAGCCAGATAGCCAGAGACCCTCTGTTTTATCCTCTCCAGAAAATAAAATTTTAGACTTTTGCCTAGGTTGTAGGAGAGGTCAGATGCCCAAAGTTTCAGCCAATCCTTCTTATTTTAGCCCCTTCCTTTTTATTCCCACTTCCAGAGATTCCTGGCCATCAGTTCCTGAGGCTTTTGAGGATTCTTGAGGGTAAATTTGGTTGGTTCTCAGCTTTCTTTACTGTTAGCTTAGGATTCAGCTTTTTTAGGCCTGCTAAATAGTTCATCTGCTTTTGAGTTTCTGAAGTTGTGTTGCTGTTGTTACCTTTTCTGTTCTCCCCACCCTTGTGGATTTCTGCCTTTTAAAAAAAAATCCCTTTGCCATGCTTTTAGTGGGGTTTCAAGAGGGAGCTAAATTGGATGCCTGTATTTAATCCACTCATTCGCTCTTCAGCTCATTCCTGCCTTGTTTTCTTCCCCCATACCTTCCACTGAGATTGCTCCAGCTAAGGTCCCCAGTGACCTCTGGCTTTTAAAATTAATGTACCTGTTTTTAGTTTTCATCTCACAGTGTCAGCATTTGACAGAGCTGACCACTCCTTTCTTGAAACATATCTAATCTTGCCTTCTTTAAAACCATGAAAAAAATCCAGCTTCACTGTGATATAACTCTATCAAATTTACCCTTTTAAAGAATTTTTAGTATATTCACAAGGTTGTGCAACCTTCACCACTATCTAATTCCAGAGCATTTTTATCTCCCCCAAAAGAAACCCCATACCCATTAGCAGTCACTCGCCATCCCTCACTCTCTCAGCTCTTGGCAATCACTGATCTCCTTTCTGTTTCTATGGGTTTGCCCTATTCTGGACATTTCCTATAAATGGACTCATACAATATACGGTCTTTTGTGACTGGCTTCTTTCACTTTAGCATAATGTAAAACTACTTTCTGCTGGTTAAAAGCATTCCTCTACCCGACCCCTTCTGTCCAGTGCTCTGGGCTCCATGTTAGATTCTCTTCTGTCTCTACTGTCCCTTTAGGTGAGCCCATCCGCTCCCTTCTGGAACACCACATGTGCCAATGACTCCCCATCCATCTCTCTCACCTGGATGCCAAGAGGCATCCCAGCTGATCATGTCCAAAACAGAATTCAGTTTTCGCCCTAAGTCAAACCTAATTCTCCTCTAGTTGACCTAATTTCAGGAAATGATACTACCTTCCTCCAGTTGCTCAAGTCAAAAACAATACAGTATGTAAGTCTGTGTTTACGCATGTGAGCATTCGTTTGAGTTCCGTATCCCTCACTAGTCTGTAAGCTCCATGAAGGCAGGGACAGTGCCTGTTTGGCTCACCATTGTATACCCAGTGCTTAGCACACTGCCCAGCACAGAAGAGATAAGCAATACATATTTGTTGAACGAATGAATACAAAAAAGCATAAGACGTAATTCTTGCTATCAAGTTGCCTACAATTTATTAGAGAAATCAGATGTCCATGTGTATTGTTAAGTGTCAAAGTAAGCAGTGATGCTTTGAGAGTTGAGAGGCAGGATGATTAGGGAAAAGTAGCTGGAGACAGTGGGGATGGGTAAGTGTCAGATCGTGAAGACAAACGTGCGCATGATAGCAAGCAAAGGCTGGAAGCGGAACTTGAATTGTTTAGGGGAGGGTGAGGAGAGCCCTGCAACTTCAGAAACCGTTTAAGAAGCACGCCTTTCCCTCTGGATAATGAGATTAATGGAGATTCATACACAGCAGTACACTGTAGGCAGAAGCGCAGCACTACAGCAAATGGGAAGAACTGAGGAGCAGTCACGCTGACAGACACCCTGAGGAATCAGGTGTTTTATAGTCAGTCTTTTATTTGGGCATTAGTATAAACAAAATTACATTAAATGTGAATGTAAACTTTTGGCATAAAAATAATAAGATTTAAGCATTCTGATTTTGAAAATTAATTTTGTTTGCAGTTGAAGAGCTCACTCATTATGCTTCAGAGAACCTTTGATCTCCTAAATAAGAACAAGACGGGCATGACTGTCGGAAGCTAGTGATCTTAAGGACTGAAATTTAGCAATACTTGGAACTAAAAGAAAACAATGTGAAGAAAACCAGAGGATGAAGGATTTTAATTGTCACAGGAACATTTCCATATTTTCTCATTTATTGGTAGTTCTAGTATGAATATTCTCTTTAATAACATTTGTTTGATAATGAATCTCTGATGGCCTGATACATGTAGATATGTATACTTCTTAAACCTAAGTCTGTGTAAAAAATTATGTATAAGCTGTGAATTCTCCAGTGAAGTGTGAAATATATTGTGGATTTGAGTTTCTATGATACAAAAAGAAAATGAGACACTCTGAATTGAATGGTATGACCTCATTTTTCAGTGAGGTTTGAAGTTTGCTGCCTTAAATTGATCTGTTAGCACAGAATGAGTATGTGTCTAATAGGCTGCTCTCACAGTTGAGACACATTCAAGAGGCTCAAGACGACAATATAAGAAACCTCTAAACTGCTCCTCCTTTTGAAGCATCAGTTTTCAGGCATATATTATAACATTTCTAGGTTTTTGTACTGTAAGTATTACAATGTCTTCATTTATTTAGCATGCAAATTCAATAGACAAACCTTTTGAATCTGCATGTTGATGATGATTATCTGCAAAGTTCTTCATCCATATGGTGTCTTGATGAAAGAAATAGGTGTTTCTTCTTCAGGTAGCTATCAGAGGTGAGATTATCTTGCCTCTTCATATGTCAAATGGCAGAAGAGTCCATTTCGGAAAAGGAAACATGTAGGATACCAATACTCAAAAACGAAGAACCATGCTCTGAGTTTTAAAAACCGGAAGATTATGTTAAAATCTGGGCATTTACTGACAGATCAACTGAATACTTGAACTAAGCTTGGCTTCAGCTTAGCACTCTTTCATGGTGGAAGTGAGCCATCTGGTTGAAAATAATTTGTGGATTAGTTTTCAGTAGCCACGGATGGCTTCATTTATTCATGCATGTGTGTGGCTTGTTTTAGTCAGTAAATTATAAGCCAGACACCAACTTTAGCTCTTTAATAAAAAACTTTTGGAGGCGTTATCTCTCAATACAAGTGCACCGACTGAAGTTCTAAGTCTGATACAAGGTTTGGCTCTTTTCATAAAAAGTTTTTAGGCCTATATATCTCAATACAAGTGACGCCTCTGGAACAACTGTTTGAACAACTATGGCCTTTACTTAAATGTTTCTTTTTTTCCCCACAGTCACCAAAGCCACATGGGATTGCTAGAGTTATTTTTGAGATGCCTATAGAGAATGAAAGTATTGACTCCATTAGAGGGAAAATAAGTTTCTCTGGGTGAATTCCAACTAACCTCCCTTGGGGCACCCGTGTACCTACCTGGGGGTTTTTTGATAAGGATTTATGAAGTGTCTGCCTGTGAGCAAGAGTGACTGGATTATAAACTTGAAACCTTGTTCTCTGTTAAATTCACAAAAATGATCAGTGACAAGCTGAATATTTTTGTGATGTTTCTTTAAAACTTGTACTTCATAACATACCTCAAAGAAAATTACCGAAGTAAGTTGGTTTATAAATTACAACTAAATATATATGTGTGCAGAATTCAATTAATTGTATTTAAGACTGTTATGTAAACTGAGTTATCAATAAAAACCCAAAATCTGAGTTGTAGTTTTTCTCCTTCTGTTTAAAAAGCCAAAAATACTAGAAAGCCTTCTGTAGGAAAAACATGTACATGGGCCTACACTCTTTAAATTTTTTAAATAAAATGCAAAAATAAAACCCAAAGAGGATTCTCATCTTAGGGCAATTTCATTTCAAATATGCAGACTGGAACAAAAGTACCAGATAGGCCTGCTGGTCTAACGTAGAGACTGCACGCCAGAAATCATGAAAATGAACAAGCTGGATAAATTGACAGACAGGGCAGGAATGGGCCTTTAAGGGAAGGTTAGCAAATTTGGGGGCGGTGCCTGGGGAACATCTTGCGGTGGAGATCTCCCCACGCCCGTTGCGGCGTCGGAATGAAGGCTGCCCGGGCCACGGGGCTCACGTACTTTGGAAATCCTGCGGGCGCCCGGGGTTCCCGCACTTCCGTCTCGGCCCCTCCCCCGGCCCGAGGGCTTTGGAGCTGCCCCGCCCACGCGCCGCCCGCAGGCACCGGCGGG